GTCCCGACCGGACCCCACTCCGAACCCTCTACTCTGTTAACGACCTAATTCCTCTCTGCTTCATTTGCGAAAACGAACAAGAAAACGAGAACAGTGTCGCCGTTCGATCGAATCCTAGTATATAATTTTGTTTACTATTGTTTCTTATCGACCCCGACTACGATTGCGACCAAACACCCATCGTCATCGTCGCCGTCTCCTAACTTTTTAAACCTTTCTCTTTGTTTTATCTGACGTTTTCCGGATCATCCTGGTGATAACCATGTACCATCCTCACGATTTTATAAACCCGGATATTTCTTTGGTTTTTACTTTACTTTCTTTTCTTCTTTGGAAAGCGACGGCGTCCTGCGGAGCGGAATTCCCCCTACCTTTTTTCTTAACCTTCTAATATATACATACTTTCACACACCTCTTCCCGGACGGAGCGAACCAAGGAACGCCAAAATACGAAAAAAAACAAAAGCAAATCTCACTGGTCTTGCGAAGAAAGGAAAAAAAAGGTGTCTTTTGGTTAATTTAAAAAGGGAGCCATATCATGATGACATACATATATAGAACCATCGACCAGCGAAAACGTTTATTTATTGGCATCGAGTTTTTCTTATCATTTTGTCACATATATATCCATTTTCATTCTGTCTATGGAGAGAAAGAATGGATGGAATTTGGGAGGATGGAATTGGCATGATTTTACGAGTGTTGAGAGCGGAGTTTTGATTTTTGTTTTGTTTTATTTTTATTTTTATTTTCTCATCTTGTCTTACCTCTTGACTGACTGATCATCTTTCGTTGCGTCTGGTTTTCCTTCTGAACCTTTTTGTTTATTTTTCACATTTTTCGCATCTTTTGTATCTTTTCTTTTCTTTTCTTTTTTTTTTTTTTTTGATCCTTTATTTTGCACCATATACACACCTCCTCTACTACGGATTTTGGATCCTTGGGAACTTGGAACTCGGGGTTTATTTTTGGCTTTGGGTCGGCGTGTATGTTGATGTTGGGTGAGGGTTTTTTGTCGTGTCACTGAACTGGGCTGGACCGGCTGGGTGGTGCATGTGTGCATGTTCTGATCCGTTGTTGCATGGCAAAAAGCCTCCTTTTCCTAACTGCATTCTGATATCCAGAGTTTATTATTTGTCATCGGGTTGGGTTTTTTTTATTATTTTTATTTTATATACATACATACATATTTTCTTGTTTTCGTCCTGGGCTGGTTGGTGAGGGGGGGTTGCTTTTGTTTGGGTATATATACTCCGTATATATATATATATGGCTGCTGGTGAGGGCCACGCAATTGGTTTATATTGTCTAACATGGTCAATCTACGGGGGTTAAATTCCTGTCCTGTTGTTGATGTGTGTTAGCGGGAACTGTTTTGGTTGGATGAATCGTATATATTGTTAAATACATACATGTTCTTATTTTTATTTGATGAGTTTTTATTTTTTCTATTTTTCTATATATATATTTTATTTTCTCCATCTAAATGTTATGATGTCCTTTTTCAATATCTATTGGCAAAAGATAAGAGAGACACTGGAAATGTTTGCATGAGAAATTAACAATATGGTGGGCGAGGGAGGTTATACTACGTTTTTATATTCTAAGATTGTAAAAAATAAAATGCAATCAAGGGGGTAGTAAAGTAATTAGGCATTTTAAAGATAACAACAAACTATGCAACCTCCTATTTCCATTTCTTTTTATTAACACATCACTTATAACTCATTCGCCTTGCTTTATCTTTCCATCCCACCCCCCCCCCCCCCCCATCATTTATCCAGATGGTCAAAATAGACAATGTGGGAGAACTCATTTGCTTTCACAGGCCCAAAATGTATAGATGTTGTTTGCCGCTTTGAAGAAGGAGGAAAGAAATCAGGAAACAAGAGTATACAGAAGCAAAGCAGATGAAAAGAGAAGAAATGAAAAGCCTCCCCCTTTCGGTTCCCTTTGGTTCCCCCTCCCCTCTCCTCCTCCCTCCTCCCTCCCCTTCCGCTCACCTACTCTACTCATGCCCCAACCAACCACTCAAACATTCGCATCAAAATCTCCGCCGCGCGCCCCCACCCCCGTCCCCGCGCGCATCCTCGGCTCCGCCCCCATCCCCATGCCCGCCCCCGTCCCCGTCCCCGTCCCCGTCCCCGTCGCTGTCGCCGCCGCCATACCACCCCTCCTCCCCTCAAACACCGCCCCGCTCTCAAACTCAGCATCCTGGCCGGGACTGCACGTCTCGAAGCGCAAAGCGCGGAGGAACAGGTACCAGCCGACAGCCAACAGGGCGCCCAGGACGGGGCCGAGCCAGTAGATCCAGTGGTAACCTGGGAAGGAGCGGTTTATGACGTCGGGGCCCAGGGAGCGGGCGGGGTTTAGGGAGCCGCCGGTGAAGGGGATACCTGTGGTAGGGATTAGGGGGGCGCGGGGGGGTTATAGCATTAGGGGAATGGATATGTAACTATATTTAAATAGGGAAAGGAGGGTGGGTGGGTGAGAACCCGGGGGGGGAGGGGGGGAGGAAGGGAAACGGGTGGAAAATAAAATAAAAGAAAAAAAGAAAAAGAAAAACATACCAACAAGCTCCGCTAAAAAGAACGCCAGCCCAATGCCCAACGGCGCGATGAACGTTGCCTTATGCTTCACGACCGCCAGCATTATGATCGCAAGCACCAACAGCGCTGTCAGGAATACCTCAATGAATAGCCCCTGAACTATCGAGACGCCGTTGCCCAGGCGCGTTCCCACAGTCAGCGGGTTGGGGAACATGGCCGAAGCCAGGCCCGCAGCGGCAATACCGCCTATAAGCTGCGCAACAATGACGAACACAGCCCGAACGGGGGGGACAAGCCCCAGTAAATAGAGGGCGAGGGTTACCTGTTATTTCTAGTTATATTTCCTATGTCATGCTTTTTTGGCACAGGCCGCTTTCTGTTTTTTTTTTTTTTTTCTATTTTTTCCCTTCTCTTTCGGGGGGAACGAAAACGAGGAGAGCTTTCGCTCTCCTCCGGTATTGCGGCGGGAGATAAAAAATATTTATAATTACCGCAGGATTCAACATGCCGCCTGTCACGCGAAAGAACAGCCACACGTTCACCGTCAGAGACACCCCGAAGCCCAACGCCGTGTAGAGAAGGGCTGTAGGATCCGCTTGCTCGCCGGGTTCCAGCACCACTTCATTGGCGATTATCCCGCTTGCGAACGGGTAGAAGAGGAATAGGAACGTGCCAACGAACTCGCCGGTGGTGGCGACGATGCCATTGCGAAGGGGGTCCGGGATGCGATTTATGCGGTCGCTGATGAAGGAGGCGCGGGGTCGGGGCCGGGAGGTGTCATATTTAGGAGAGCCTGTTGGGTTTGAATTGGAACTTACAATGGTGGTTGAGTAGCTTGGGTAGTTATCTAGCGGAGCATGATCTTGATCGGGACCTGGGTTGATGTCGGCATATTGGGCTGGACTGGACTCCATGGCTTTGCGCGTTTTGATATATATCAGATACCTGGATGGGCATTATTCTCCTCGCGGGAAAACAGGTGTCGGGGGAATAATAAGGATCTTCTTTATTTCCCCCGAAAAGGAGCTGCCGAGTAAATAGAGGATAAAGTCCCCCGATTATAGAGATCTATGGAGGAAAGGCAATGACGCGGGGATGACGGCTTGTGGTCCAAAAAGGGAAATTGAAGCTCATAGAGTTTCCAAACCGGCCACTCATGGCACGTCTGTTTGTCCCAAACCTTTAATATATCTTTCCCCAGCCCTAGCACACTTAGGTCCATAATCATCGGAACGCAAGCTCGTATGAATTTATGCCCAATCTATTTTGATCAGGTTAGTTACGGTATTGAACGTGGCAGACATTGGAGTTCATCTGGAACATTCAATGAGTTGCGGGGGCTTTTTGAGTTCGAACGTTACCAAGGTTTTATCACTTTAGTGTAGAATACAGTTTTGAGCTAGTGCGACAAATATACACACCCGGAGAGCAACGGAGTAGAGACCAACCCTAGGTTGAATAATGAATGCTGTAGAATGTTAGCTACCAGGGGTTGAACAACCAATCGGAATAGGGCATTATACATACCTCATATGGTGACATATTCACAATGCATGGACCATCTGACATGCTACAGATGATTTACCATGGAGTTGTGGTTAGCATTGCATATCTTGATTTGAAAGGTGTCTGGGACATGATGGCTTATGCTTCGTGGTGTTTATGGGTAAAACCCATTAGCTGTCGGTGTGTAATAGTTGTAACATCCTATCCCATTCACAACTCTGATCCACCAGTTTACCATTGTGTCCAGGAAAGCCTGTTGTGTTCAATGCTGGTAATTGTGAGAATCAGTGGCTTTTAATGGCCGGCATGAGTTCCAACAAAGGTGCCTAGGAAGAGTACCCTAATGCACCGGATCATTCTGAATTAATCTTAAGAATCATCAATTAACTGTGTATCATGTATGAGAGCCCTGATCTTCCTATTGTTCGCCAAGGGACAGATACATGTACTGTACATAATTGAATGGTTGGATGAGAATTGGTCGATCATATATTAAAAAGTCACTCAACCGTCGATAGGAGGAGGCAATATGGAAGGCATAACGGTGATTCAGCATGCTCTCCAGAAGAGACTGTATACCATGCTTGGGTGTCATTATGACAATCCTTTGTTGTTTGGCACACTTCACTTTCCAGATTGGGTGTTGGCATCTGAAAAAGTGGAAGCCAGTGCGGTTGATACTCATATCAGGACTTCAGCCACATTCGTGAAGCTCTGCAGTTCTTTAATACCAGGTAACATGTATGGATCAAGTAGAGTCGTGGCATATGAGAACTGGGATGGCGTTGGCTCCTGCATCACGTCCCGCACATAGTAATGAGGAGTTGGCCGCGAAAAGAGTCCCGGTGTAGGATTTTGGCATGGCTGTGGACGTAATGGCGAGGCAAGCGTACCAGCTATATAGAGATATAGGTGCGTTATTGCCAGAGTACTCTCTCATGCCAGGATTTATATAGGTATATGTTGAACGTTGGACTTCGGATGTTTGTTCCTTGCCAAGCGGATGTGATGGAAGCGTCGGGAGATTATTATTCCGGATGCCGAGCCACCTCTGCCGAATCCTTGCCACAAGCCCGCTCTGGATCGCCAATGACGTCATGTATATCGAAACCAGTTGCCGCCGCTTGGAAGTCTTGAGGAGCCATAATCGCCTACATTCTACTTGTTTCTCATTGTTCCGTGTTGAGGATCCACGAATTACGTATACTGCTCGGTGTGAGCATTTCTATATATATATATATGAGGGTATAAAGATCCATGCCTATCAGTGCGCCACATTTTAATATCATTCTCAACCCCTCATCTACCCCGGAAATTAGGAAGCTATTTATTGCCTATTTGAATCTCGTGCGTCTCGCCGTGCCGTCTTTCCCGCTCGGCATTTTTGGCACTAACAAGCACAGGTAAGGCATTTCTTTAAGAGTGCCTTATATGTCCCCATAAACCACCACCCAGTTTTATTGTACCCTACACACACCACGCCAAACATGTCGTTTCTTGCAATTCCAAGTACCGCCCGCTTCCTTAACCGCCCAATTGCCGCTGCGCGGGTTTATACCCCGTGTCTTAGCCAGGCATTCCACCAATCGTCGACTCGGAATGCTTTGAAGGAGTCTGATAGGAGTAAGTCAAATCTTAATGACACCTCGACGGGAAGCGATATTATAGCCATTTTTGCAGCCCATCTTCTAGAGGATACGCCAACTGACATCTGCTTTTCCTCACGAGAATAATAGATCGAGACAACGTAAAGGAAGCAATCCGGATCAGCAAGCAAGAGCACAACCAACAACGGAAGGACGGGGATCCACGGTGGCATGAGTCTCTCGCCAGCGTTAGCGAGGCGCACGTAGGTTGCCCCCTTCACTCCCTTCACTGCCCTCTCCCTTCCCTTCCCTTCCCTTCCCCCTCCCGCAAATTGCTCGATGTTCATCAGCTCCAATAAAAATTGTAATGTTTTATGCAGCAATCAAGTTAAGACAGCGATAGCTAACTTTGAAATTTGCCTCTTTTTCACCTGCACAGGTAAAAGCTGACCGTGGCGAAATTACCGAGGCCGCTGCCGAGATGGAAGAACAAATGCGGCAGGCGAAGATGGCCGGGCACAAACCCGCTTCTCCAAGCACCGGTATTGGGAAGGGAGGCGGGATGATGACTTAAAGAGAGGATTTCAATTGCAAATGGGATAATTTGCTGGAACGCTTTAAAACTCGCAAGAAATTCCCGGATTTTACATCAAGTATTCCTTTCCTCGTCTTTCTCTCCGCTCCGACTTGAACACTCTTTGGATGCTTTTGAGTGGTTGGTTGTTTGGAATTGAACTCCAACTCTGTATATTATTCATGCGTTCGTTGTGTTTGTTGGATTGCAGGATGTTAGCTTCAAACTCCAACCCTTGCGGCGGGGCAGCTGGAGTGTGAAAAACGAAGCCGGAGATGAAATAAAGAAACTAAAGCTGAACTGAACTGGGTAAAAAGGTTAATGGCCGGCTGCTATAAACATGATGGTAAAACATCGGAGAATAGCTTGTGTGCATAGCTAAATTGGGATCCCATTTATGTTGTTCTTCCATACAGTCGTGCAGCATGATCCGCAGTGAGATGATTCGAATGTGTTCCACAGATAAGTAATCTGCTTAAGGCTATATTAGCTATGACGGTTTTGTAGGTCTATTGTTAGTATAGAAGACATTAATTATAATGGAAACTATGCTTGGATGCACAGAAAGATAATTTCTGTTCTAAAGAACGCATCTCTAGGTATAGACACACGCTCGTATCTTAGGTGCCTCTTGATGAGTTGAATAGAGAGCGCTTAACATAAGAAACGCAAAGCAAAGGAAGATGAAGTTAGGAGGAAACAAAAAAGTTGTACGAAATGCGAAGCGCGCGAAAGAGGGTGGGTGTACACGAATAAGGATAGTAGTCTTTGAAAATGAAATGCAACCAGGCATTAGCTGAGTTCTTTACCGAAACACAACGCCAGGTCCCCAATAGCGCCTGTGATCATATACAGCTTATAAATTCGTATCCAACCCCAGAACGCCTATGTGGAATGGCAAACTTATCCAAGGAAATAAAAGACTAAGGAGGAAGGGACGGATTGGTGAAAGAATGAGCGGAAACGATAGCCTGCAAGGATTGGTGGCATCTTATTTCAAGATAACAATCAAGATAACGAGAACGATGATTAAACCGATGATGGTCATCAAGCTTCGACTTTCGCTTGCGTTGCGTCGGAATTTCCCTAGCCTCTTTCTCGCGCCCTCTAGTCTTCTCGTATGGCGGTCCACATGGCCATCCACATCATCCAGTAACGCTATGTGTCCTTCTAATTCATCTCCGATTTGAATACTGAGCTCGTGCTGTCGCCCAATAGACTCTCCAAGGCGATCCAGGTGATCATCTTGCTCTTGCATGATCAGCGCATGGTGCGCGTGGATGTCAGGATTTGAGAGAGTAGAGTGATCCACGGATGGCGGGGAAGGGGTGTCGCGGTAAGGATGAAGAAGAGCTCTCCGGTTGGGGTCGTCTTCCTCAACGGATGCAGTCAGAGTGTCAGTGAACCTGACAGATTTGGAAATTGGATGCTGAGGAGTAGGGTGTTTTAGAGTTGTTGACGTGCTTGTCGCACGAACAAAGTCATCGGATAAGGATGGATCATTTGGGGTTTTATCAGTAGTATCTGGAGTTGAGTTATTGCCATAGAATTGTGAAGTGAGGCCATCTAATTGCTGATTGAGATTGATTCTTTGGTCCTTCAGTGTTGCAGATGTTCTAAATAAGAGGCGAAAAGGTTAGCAGGTCTCTCCAAAAAAAAAGAATCTACATGTACATAAATGTAGGGCTTCGTCATTAGTCTTACGGGTCATCATTTTCTTCGAGCCGAGCAATTTGCGAATCAAGTGCTTCAATTCCTTCACGGAGAGATTCTAAAGAACGGGATATTTCACCATCCTGCGAATTGGGTTCAAGCTTAAGGGAAATCGCCCTTTGCCGTTCCAGAAGAGATAGCTTTATGTGATCAGCGAGGAGAAAGAGCTGTGACGGATTGCTCATTTTTGCGGCTCTTCGCAAGCAAACGGGAGAAAAAGAGCTGATGTCTAACAGCGATACAACCAAGTTCGCGCCTCGTAGTTACGTGAGAACAAGAAGTGCGCAGCAGCTCTGTTGGAGGCCTTCTATCGGCGAGTTCAACCGAAAGATTGAGGGCGGGAGGAAGGATAGAGATGGGAATGGATGAGCTATATTTAGCTTGGGTGAAGCCTGGAGTGATATGTCTCATCCCGCCCAAACGGACGCGGAAAGCGCTTGAGGCTGAGCGTAGAAAGCGGTAAGCACCCCGGTACGGTAATTTTGTGCGTATTGGTGTATTATTTCACAATACCGGACGATCTCAGAAATCACGTGCTAAAAACACGCCAAGGAGGAGGGCTATCAGACTTCATCTCCAACTCATCATCCTGAATTTGATCCTCCAATTCGTACGATACATAGATGTGATGTGAGGAAGGGTGGAGCCGAGTTGTCTTCTATAGGAATTGACATTCATTCTACCGCTCTCTTTAACAATTCATTTTATGGAAAACATTCTTGCAACAAACACACCTATACCCATCCTCAGCGGCGAGAAGACAGAACTACATCATCACTCAACTCAATGGCCATGTCATCTCTCATATGCCTCTTTCCCTTAAAACTGTTCGTAGCGTCTCTGCAAACTTAACTACATACTCCGGATTCAACATTGTATAGTGCGCCCCCTGCACGTCGTGAAATCTCACGTCTTCTCTCACGAACTCCTTCCATGCTGCCAATCTGGTCTCTACCCAATCCCTTCTATTCTTCGCAACATGGCTCAGAGGGTCTGCCACAAATACATCCATACACTTGACGTTTCCCGAGGGGTCATAGTTGACGGCCATGTTTTGCGTGTTGAACGCAAGCCCAACCCACATGAGATAATATTCTTCTGTGAGGCCTAGCTCATCCCACCGGTTCTGATCGCAATGCTTCCGCAGGTAGCGAATGGCGTCAAGATGACGGTTTTCCCGTTCAAACTCACATAAGATCGGTTTGTGAGTGTAGGCTTTTGCTTCGTCCATCAAGCCGACGAAGTAGAAGAGATGGATAACGCACTCGTCCCATAAGAGCTCACGCATGCGGAACTTTATATGCGGCGGGAGATTCCAGCTGCCGCAGTATCGCACCTCATCCCCGTCCCCCTCAAGCAGCTTGGCTACTTCAAACGCCACCATGCCACCAAACGAGTAACCGGCGATGGCGTAAGGACCTTGCGGCTGCCGTTTCTTAATGGCAGAACGGTATGTTTCAAAGACTTCTTGCAGTGATTCGAATGGTGTCTCGCCCTCGGTGGCGTTGAATCCTCTTGCGCGGAAAGCGTAGACGGGACGATCGGTTACGTGGTGAGCAAGGTTGACAAAAACCAGGACTTCACTGACGCCAGGGTGAACAAGCCATAGAGGAGCTTTGTTTCCGAAGGGCTGGAGAGTCACAACTGGGTCGTACTTATGTTCTCCTCGATTCTTGGATGTGGAAGTACGCTTTGCAAGACCTCTCACTGTAGGATGACTCAGGAGGTCAGTCAGTTGGATGGGCTTTAGGAGCTGCAGATCCCTGTTGATTTGCTGCATGATGGCCACAAGATCCATTGATGTCGCCCCGGTTGCGAGAACAGAGTCATTGACACCGAAATCGTCCTCATCTGGAATTTCGAGTTGCTCTCGGATGATCTCCAGAATTGTAGCCTCTTCAGACATCTCTACCTTGCCACGGATCTTGTGTCGATACCTCTTGATTGCCTCGTCATTTAGAGTCTGTTGGGCTGCGAAGCTGCCTTCTTCTAGGGCAGCCTTTAACTTCGCCCGAGAGAGTTTCCCAAGAGTTGACTTGGGCATATCTTGGGGTTGTAGTGGTATTACTTGAGGACGGGACCGAGTGTGCATACTCGCAACTCGAACGATGGTGTCTTGCGTCTCGAAACGGGCTTTGTCGTCTGCCTCATCATATGACGGTAAGTAGAGTACGGCAACAACTTCAGTGTCCATTGTCACATCACGAGTACCAAAGCAGCAGAAGTAGCTTGCCGTGGCACCGAGAATTTCAGCCTGTTCGAGTGTTGCGTCTAGCTCGTGCGGGAGGTACTTGACCCCATTGATATTGATTATCTCTTTGGTACGGCCATCAAGATGAAGGTAGCCGTTCTTGTCGATATAAGCCAAATCGCCTGTCCGAAACCAGCCATCCCCAGTAAATGCCTCTGCCGTGGCCTTGTCGTTATTGTAATAACCTTTGAAAATAACGTCGCCAGTCAACTCTAAACTGCCTCGTTCTCCGACTTGTGCCTCGATCCCAGAACCGTCGAGTTTGGTGATGCGCATGCGCACACCTGGCATGCATTTGCCGAGTGACGCAAACTCTAAATTCTCCGCGCGATCATAGCTCGGACACCGGCTGTTAAATATGCATCCGGCACATGTCTCGGTCATGCCAAATGAGGGTTTGAATACATCTTCTGGAGCGCCATATTTCTGGAGCAGAGATTGGAGACCAACGCAAACATTTGTAACATTCGCTTCACCACCTGTATCTAGGTACAAAGTTTCTAGCTTCAGGTCTGCGTCCGTGGATGCCTTGTCCGCCTCCAGTTGCCTGCGCAGCTTGGCAAGGAGGATGTTTGGCGCGAAGGTCCGCGAGACACGGTGACGACTAACAAGGCGCAGGAGTTGCATAGGATCGACCAGCACTTCAGATGCGGGGACCTGAACTTGTGATACCTTGGACACAATGGCAAATATGTGGCAATGGACGAGGTTAGCTACGTGATCCATATTCACCCAGGAGAGAAACGGGCTATTTTGATGCCGCAAGTTGGCAACCTGTGTTTTTCCACGAAAGGCTACAAGTAGCTGATGGTGGGTTAACGGTACCACTTTTGCGTTGCCGCTGCTTCCAGATGTGAGCATTAGAGCAATCACATCAGAAGGGGAAGGTCGGAAAGGTAGGGGCTGCCAGGATTTAATGGGTGGTACGGCTTGAATATCGCCAATGACAAACGTATTAATGCGGTCTTCCCCGCTTTGCTCTTTGAAAGGACCTAGTAGGAGCAGCTGAGTGAGGCATATTGGTCCCTTCAGCGTGCTATGGAGATGGCTCAGATGCTTATGCCTGTCACTTGGGTTCTGACTGAACATCGAGGGGCTGGTGATGGCGGGGATTCCGCCAGCTAACAAAACAGACCAGTACCAGATGATGGTGTCTAAGGTATTGTCGAAGTGGATGAGCACGACATGTCCAGGCTTGCAGATGCTTTGCTGACGAAGCCGATTTGCATTTTCTTCCGCCTGCTGAAGCAGCTCACTGTACGAAAGCTGCTGGACTGCAGAAGTCCCGCTAGTGTTGTTGGGCTGATATGCGATGATCCCCTCAGTTGTTTCTCTGGCGGCATGTCGCAAGGCGTCAATGATGTTGTCGAAGTCGTATCCATTTTGTGGGATCGCCGTAAGCGGAAGAGCGCCATTGGTGGTGGGTTCAGACACTCTATCTGCCATCTTATCTTCCACGTTGGCTTTCTTCGAGGTTTGCACGATTGAAGGCGCCATGTTAATGTGCTAGGAATGAAACTTGAATGAGAAATATACTGAAGTACTGCTACTGACAGTTATATAGCCGGAAAGACAGAAAACGTGGAAATGGATTCCTATAAGGACAGAAGGATGCAGATTATTATCAGCATAAGAATGTCCCTTGGACGTCCAGCTTACGGGTTGCATCCACGGAGTTTATCCTATTGCATTGAACAATGATGCGCCGCTCTCGAAGAGCAACATGGCATTGACAATATCAACGTGCTACGAGGTTAACCGCCTTTATAATGTTTTTACCCCTTGGGGCTATTTGGTAATATGATACCACACCACAGCATGAGACACAATCCCAGCCATGAGAAATTCTCTTACACGAGGGTTGAAAAGCGAAAGTTTTTTTCAAGACGGGACACAGGGTGGCAAAACAGCTGGCAATGTGCCTGGAGATCCAGGTGGTTCTCGTTTTATTCATCTCAAAGAATTCACGAATCTACAAATTCGCTTTCCCTTTTCAGGCAAAATACTACGATATGGGGAAAGAATCCCAAAGTTAATCATTGATGGAATGCTTACCTTTGGCCTGAAAGGATGGAAACTCTAATCACACAGTTATTGCTCAGGTTCAAACAATTTTAACATCCTTGACAATCTCATGCAGTTGCCGGCTGCGATCCATGCGTTTCCGGTGTGCACATCAGCCCAACTTAATTGTTGTGCGACCCTGGAAAAGAAAATAACCCGACCAATTGCCAGACATGGTTATTATCTATGGGACCACGAAACCGGATTATTGATATCTTTTGTATAGCATCATGGGTCATTATTGTCTGTATAACAAACGCGGAGGGCTGCTGGAGGATCGCAGAAATAACAACCTCTGAAGAATCGAGTAAGTATATATAGAGAATCTTGCACCATTTCACCGCTTCGGATTATTCGATGTTGCTATTGATGATCATCGCCCCGAAACCTTCTCTCTTGAATCAATTGTTGAAACCTTGTTACCAATCTTCGTTATTCGCGTATTCTCCTTAAGGATACCCAAAATTAATCAATATGGCCGGGCAAGCCGTTTCCGCGATCCCTGAGGCAGCTTCTGCGTTTCAACAGGCAGCAAAAGTTACAGCCACACGGTTCTGGTCTCATTATCTCCGCTCCATCATGGCGCCATTGTTCAAATCGGTGGGAGCTTACACGGAATCCGAGCAAGAATCCCATCTTCAGTTTATGGACGAGCATATTGCAACGAATCTCGGACCTCTACCAAATGATCCTCATTCACCATATGTTGTGCCCGCAGCGATAGTTGGCGCTCCCTTTGATCCCAGTATCAATTTGACTTCATTTGGCAGTGGGAAAGTTCGCTTCGATTACACAGTCGTTGAGCCGATCGAGCGCCCGAAGGAGGACCCCTTCTCCGAAAATTTGGCCAGAGAGATGCTACATAAGTTAGCCTCGGTCGTAGGAGCAGACACGAGGTGGATGGACAGCCTCATGTCGTCGCTTTATTTATCACCCGCCGAAACTGATGCTCTCCTGGCCAGTATGCCGCCGCAACTTCTCTGCCCACCCGCTTGTATCGGCGTGGATTTTGACGGGCCCAAAAGGACGCTTAAGGCGTACATTCCAGGGGTACGTAAGGCTCTTGCCACTGGACAGTCTTCGGCCGAGCTTGTGTTGGAGGCTATACGGGATCTAAAACCATTAGGATCCGAGCTCGCGCCGGCCGCGGATCTTTTAGCTGAGTAAGTTGGTTGCTATCTCTACTTGCCCCTCGATGTTTGCCATTAGCTTATTTTATTTGCAAATAAAACAAATAGATATCTCGCCAACTGCAAACATGACATTATTCTTTTGTTGGCAGGAATTGATTGCATTGACCCCACAAGACATAAGAATGCGCGGGTTAAATGCTATCTTCATAGCAAGGCAAATTCATTTAGTGTCGTTCGTGACGTGATGACGCTTGGTGGGCGTCTAAATGACGAGGCGTCGCTTAAGCGGGTCGACATTCTGCGATCTATCTGGCCATTGCTCTTGAACGAGCCCGAAGATACTAAACAAATTGATGATGACTGGTCGAAGCCCGAACGTATCAAAGAGAAGCTCTACACTGGGATACGTTATACGGTTGAGATGACACCCGGAAAAAAGATCCCTGAAACTAAATTATACATGCCAGTTTTCCAGTACACGGAGACTACCGACATAACAGAAAAAAATTTCGAGAATACTCTGAAGAAACTGAACATTGAATGGGGCCATAATGGGAAGTATGGAGAGGTCATGGAGGCTGTTTTGTGAGTCTATCCCCACTCGTCCCTTCTGGGAACTAAACTTTGGGGGGAAAAAAAGAACAAAATTAGAAGTTTTTTCATTTCTAACAACGATACAGCGGGAAAGAAAAAGATTATACACAGATTTTCAGTTCCTTTTCATACACCGCGGGGAAGGGCGCGTACACAACGTCGTATTTTGCGAAGCCAATAAGGCAGTAAAATGGCACAATTTTTTGTGGAAGGGTAATTTGCTATTTGTTCTGATGCACTACTTCTTACTTCTTAGTCAAGTTTTTTATCCTGCTGTGGTTTTAAGATTAGCCATTGGAGAGCTTGAGATGGAATAAATTGTAGAATTTAGGATAGGAGAATAGCAGTGTTCTAAGCCTTTGTGTTGCATAAATCGCGTTGATATATTTTGTTACAAGTGAATGGTTTATTTCCAGGGTCCCACGTTATTCTTGAGTAGTTAAGATTTTGCCCATACAAACCGAGATATCCTAACTGGAGAGAATCGACATTGGGCTGAGACAAAAGCACTCGCACGTTTTCTTGGTCTTACCAACCCCACGTCATGACTTCCGGGAACTCTGTTACACGGGGGGATACGGGCTGATATGGTTCTCGATTTGAAATCAACAAGAAAAGTTTTTACTAGCTTTGGCAGGGTTGATACGAATTCTAACTTTCATTGCACTACTCTCCAAGAAATATCAAGATCTGGTGATTTATTAGTAGTCCAATTTCATTTACAAGGTTCACTCAATGGAAAAGAAGATCTAGTTCATAATGCAACCCGGAGAGCCAATGCAACCATGTGAAGAACAGCATTTTGCATCATGGCTTACTTTGATAAATGTTACAATGCATCAAATATTGCTCCATTTGGGATTTGTAGTCTATCTTATCCGTTCACATTCATTTGACTCAAATTTTACGCTTCGGTTGTTTTCACATACGTTTGTCCAGAATATTTATATTCCAAATGAGCATTAACTCCAACTAGCTACTGCGCTTATCATATCCCTCCCAACCGAAGGGGATAGCTGTTTTACATCCAGGAGCTACTTCATAAAGCATACTTTAGTGAAGGTTACTTTTAATCTGTTTATAAGTGAGTTCCAAATAATCATGAGCAACTCACATGATTAGCAAGTAGAAGTAGCATAACTAACAGATTTGCTTGTAATACAACCATCAGCCTTGTCACAACATTGGTGACAGAATCATCCCCGGGTGGCTTCAAGCCGCAACTGCGCCCCTTGCAAAGTTACGCCATGCCCTTCCACACGTTGATAATAGATAATATTGAATCGTCTGTGTTCAGCCAGTCTGATGCTGGCTTGGGAAGCGGAAGAAATATTATTGGCTAATAAATTTGACCAACTATTAGTGTAAACTTAAATGGCATGAACCAAACAATCTTATTTTAACCTCTCCATCTTTAAATACTCTATTCTAGCTAGAGATCGTCAGGCGCGTGCAACTTGAAAACCTCAACATGGAAGAACGCAACTACCCAGGTAGGTTATAAGCCCGATGATATCTATGGCTGTAGAAAGGTTGTTCAAGTGCAGTTGTCTGCCAAAACTCGGTCTCGTCCTGATGAGGAGGTGCTTGGGTAAGCCTAGCGATGAAATGCTCCAGACGAGGCATAAATCTGCTTGAATGAATTTATAGCCTAAAGAGACCACATTCGTCAACCTGGAATACGAAACTCCACGGTCTGGCGGTCAGGAAGAGTTTTGAAAGAATATTTTCCAGAATAACCTAATTGGTCCCTTCCGTATGAATATCATCGTGCAGTAACTTGGAAACTCGGATGAGGAATCTGATTCCTACATGTGATTGAATCCGAAGGTAGGATGTCTGGATTTGTGAGAATGAGCAGACCGCATTCTTATCCATCATATCTTCTGTCGAGAAGAAGCAGCCTTATGGAACTAGGTGAGGGAGCTCAATCTAACAAGAGGAGCTTTTGGGATCCTTGTGGGCTCAATACGAAACCCCGATAGGGAGCGAGACTGGAACTCTATGGGTAACATCTGTTGTTGAGTGTATAGAATTGCCCGGAAGGATAGTGAAATTTATTTACAGTGGGGTGTACGCATACATCGAGAGCTAACTGTCTAACCATCCCATCATCTCACCGATATATGGGATGCTGATTCTTTTTCTTTACGAAGTTTTATATTTCCCAGGCTGAACGACATTTCTGAATAATAATTGTCTGGTTCTTCTAGCGGAATTAACTTCAAGAGAATTACATAGAATATCTTCCTTAACATTTTACTATTCTATTGTTCCGTCATGGGATCCGCAAGAGATGTGCCCGGGGGTGTGGCTATCGACCCAACCCCCTTTTTCTCCAGGCGTGCACAGCGATGGGAACCAGGAGCCAGTGAGTGAAAGTGTTTCTCGACACATATTACTCTTGTGGCCCTTTAGGCTAACCCGCAGGCAGTTCGGAGCCTTCTCCCTCTAGAGTCTATGCCAGGAATGATATCTCTTGTTGCCGGTGCGTCGAGCGTTTTGCTGCATACCTGGTCTATGGGATTCCCCTAGCGGTTGGGGCTTAATTCACCTGACACCCGTCTAGGAAAACCTAGCCCAGAAACGTTTCCTTTCGCCAAATTATCGATATCGCTCAAAGATTCAAATGAGAGTACTATAGTCCTTGAAGAATCTCTATTGAGAGAAGCACTTCAGTATGGATTGCCAGAAGGGAATGCAGAATTAATTCAGGTTTGTCATCTATGAATTTTGGGAAACAAGAGAACTTCTTAAACTCATGAATGAGAGTATGAAGTGGTTTAGAGGCCTTCAGAAGAGAGTTCACGGCCTCCCTGAATCTGGCGACTGGGCTTGCTGCGTTGGCAATGGGAGTCAGGAACTTATCTACAGAGCATTCCAAGTCTTCACTGACCTAGGTGACCCTGTCTGCCTTGAAACGCATGTACCACTATTTTCCATGCCCATCATCTTTTTGGAAAAGTTACTAACGTAGGACCATTAGGCCGGCATATCCGTAGGCCCCAGTCCCGCTTTTCTCATTGCCAAAAAATCATATCCTATTTGCTAACGATGCCCCTAGTGGAGTTGTAGGATTTCTCAGGGCAGATGGACATCATTTAATTGAAGTTAACTCGGACATCGATGGCCTGGATCCGTCTGAACTCGAGAGGATCCTCTGCAGCTGGCCTGAGAAACACCGACTCCCAAGAGTTCTTTACACGGTTCCAACAGGATCGAACCCAATAGGAAGGTCGTCCACTGAGTCACGGAAAGCTGAAATGTGAGTTCTGAACGATGAAAAACCGTAATTCGCTGACTCAAATGCTTGATTATTATAGTTTGCGGCTCGCTCAACGTTTTAATTTCATGATATTCGAAGATGACGCTTACTATTTTATAAACTTCGAGGAGGCACCATCGAAGAGAGCCCGTAGTTACCTAGCCCTCGAGAGAGAAGTCAACGGAGAAACGGGAAGAGTCATCCGTTTTGACTCCCTAAGCAAAATCGTCAGTTCAGGAATGCGGTTGGGCTTCCTCACGGGCCCCTTACCTGCTGTGCAGAAGGTCATAAAAATCACGGAAAACATAAAGTACGCCGAAAATCATGTTTTCTCTGACAGGTTTACTGCTTTTTGTGCTAACTTTCCCTGTTAGCCTTCAACCAGCATCCACCACTCAGTTTCTTGCCCTGGCTCTATTTCGACACTGGGGCTATCCCGGGTTCCTCAAGCATTGTGCGAAGGCTGCCAATACCTATCGGCAAAAACGGGACGCTTTCGCAGCTGCAGCAGAGCGGCACCTCAAAGAGAAAGCGACATGGGATATCCCAACTGCTGGCATGTTCTTTTGGCTAACACTCCGTCTTCCGCCGTGCATGGACAGTTTCGATTTGCTGAGTACTAAGGGCTTGGAGAATGGCGTTCTCGCAACTCCGGGCGTCGCTTTCATGCCCAACATCCGTAAGACATGCCACCTCCGCGCGAGTTATAGTCTTATCACTGAGGTGGAGATGGACGAGGCGTGCAGGCGGATTGCAAAGCTCGTGGATGATGCTTGGGGATCCCAATTGGACTTAGCAAAGACCTGAGTGTTGGAGTTCGAATGCGGCTCCATCGTCTCCAGTTTGTTTATTTTGCACGATGGTAAATTGCAGGATGCTCTCTATAATCTTTGAATGTCAATGTCAGGTTCTTGAACTAGACAAAATTACTACAAGGCGCATGTTTCCAGCACTCAATGCTCCTTAAAGATATAAAGCCCCAGAAAGCCTCATGGGTAGATCAACAGTCTCCATTGCAGTATTTTATTGTCATTAGCCCCTACGCGTGAGAGTGAGTAGGATAATGGTCAAGTTCATATATCGCTTTGCCCTCCCGAAAAGAAAAAGAAAAATCGTTATTCATCCCTCTGAGATAGGTTGCGGAACCTTTGATATGCGATATATCATTGGAAGGGAGACAGGAATTATTTTAAAGGCCCTAATCAGAACCCCTCCCAATGCGTGTAGCACTTCTGTTTTTCTATTTTTTTCTTTCTCCATTTTAAATTTAGGATACTGCTGCTGCAAAAAAGAAACGGAATTTATCGCATATTATATTTGCCCATGCCATAGTTACCATTGGACCATATTATTCTATTCTGACCCTGAACCTAGAAAGTTTTTGATGCAATTCATCTTGAAACACGTTAAGCGCCCATGCTATTATTAACTTATAACTTTGCCCAATAGTCAGCCTGCATGTTTCATCTTGAAGGAACAACATGCCATGATACACCAGCTCTGGACAACGACTCTTACAAGAAAATCCAGGGGCGGGGAAATAGCCTGTCACTACGAAACCTACAGTACCACCTCCTTCGCAGGGGTCATTCATAGGTAGATATAGTTTTAGGCGCCTGCGTGTGCATATTTCGCGTTGGCCCATAACCTCAAGAGAGAGAGATGACAGACTATAAGAAAGGGAGAAGGCCCTCGTTCATTATGATATTGTCCATTTTCAACTTGTCATCCGATGCGAGGTCTGAATTCTTGAATTCTGTCGTATATTTTGTTCATTCTCTCTTGATCGTCATCACAACATTCGTAAATATTTTTTTATATCAAAACTAAATCTGATTTTATGCGAATCATTAGCGCCGATCTAAATATTAATACTCCGTACATGAAACTACAACTATTGATGGCAAGCATGTATTTAAAGGACCCCAAACAAAGGCTTTCATGGGTCTTCTTCATTAGGACGAAGATCAAGTACACCAGCAATTCCATGTCACATCTCACCGAAGTATGCACATGTACTGTACAAATGGAAAAGAAGGTTTTGTCCTTAGGGAAGCGACGCATGCCACAGAAAAGAAGGATAGCGATTTGGTAAAGGGTCTGGAGCGAATGAATGCCTGGTTGGCGTGGAGATGGATATGCTTTATTTATGTCTGACCGCTGTTATGTATGGCGCTGTACGGAGTACAATCCTTTCGTAGAACACCCAACAAGACAGTATAAGATCCGTACCACTCACTACATTCGTTCTGTATGATGTTTCGCTATTCCAAGATAATTCCTTCATTTATTGTTCCGTTAAAATTTTCTTTACCCTCTTTGACGCCCTCGCCATTGAGCATTTGTCGCTCCCTGAAGAGTCGTTTTGGCATGGCGGCCTGCCTATCGTCATCCACAACGGGCGCTGACGGCAACCAAAAAGTTCGCTATTATGAGTATAAATGTATCTATGGAGTGGAACACCTTGAAAAGTACGAGCCTGGTGGATATCATCCATTGATGATTGGAGATATTCTCCACAATCGATACAAGATCGTAACCAAACTCGGCTTCGGTGGTTTTTCTACTGTTTGGCTGGCCCTCGATACTCAGAAGAAACAATATGTCGCCCTCAAAGTTGGTGTAGCAGATCAGGATCAGCCGCGGCACGAGAGTGAAATCCTCCATAAACTTTCGAATGCTGCTTTGTCCTCCTCTAGAGCGCATCCAGGCCACCGCTTAATCCCAGCTATCCTGGACGAATTCGCTGTTGATGGCCCGAATGGGAGACATCCGTGCTATACGACTCTCCCTGCGCGATGTGACCTTGGAGACGCTGCGTATGGCTATGTTTTCCCACTGCAAACGGTGAGAGCTTTAGCTGCTGGGATTACGCAGGCTCTTGCGTACATGCACTCTCGAGGATTTATACATGGAGGTTCGTTATACATCGTGGGCTCTTTGTTTTCATTAGAAGTTAATTGAAAATTTAGATGTACATATTCGGAATATCCTTGTAAAAACTTCACCAAAGCTCGACTCTCTCTCTATTGAGGACTTTTACAAACAATATGGAGAGCCTAACCTTACCCCTGTTGAACATCGTGATGGAAAGTCCCTTCCACCAAATATCCCATCAATGGCAGTCACACCGATATATATTGGTCGAATAACTGCAGACCAGTTTACCCTCACTGATGCCAGAGTAATGCTAAGTGACTTCGGCGAGGCATTTTGTCCAGCGTCCCATCATCGCCAGGCACAGGATAGCCACACTCCTCTCGGCACACGACCACCAGAGGCCAGATTCGAGCCTTGTAACCCTTTATCATACGCTGCTGATATCTGGTCTTTGGGCCTGCTCATCTGGCGAATCCTCGGACTCAAGTCGCTCTTTACCACCGAGTTCCCTTGTCCAGATGAACTTGTGTCACAATATATCGACGTTCTGCGCCCTGGACCCGACGGCATCGATATGCCAGAGAGCTGGTGGCGACAATGGGACGGCCGCGATAAGTTCTTTGACCATAATCGGGAACCGATACCAAATAGAGAAATATGGCCATCTCTTGAGACTGGTTTTGACCACCAGGTTCAGTATTGGCGTCGGAAGGATCAGATGGGGGAGTTCGGGGATGATGAGAGACGGGCCATTTTAGATCTGCTACGCCAAATGCTGAAGTTTATTCCTGCAGAGAGAGCAACGGCTGAACAAGTATTAGAGTCAGAATGGATGGTCAAATGGGCGCTACCTGATTTCCAAAGATCATATTTGGACGAATAGATGGCTTTTCAATCACAGTTTGTTTACTGAAGATAATATTGCATCTCGTTACAACGATAAGAAACTTAGTATGATGACATTCAACGCATCAAACACGAATGAATACCCGCAGGAGTAGCAGCCTTAAGACGCGAAGCCATAACCATAGCCTTACGGTGCATCCGTATATTGGGAGTGCGATTTAGTCGAAATCGCCCTGTAGGCTATTCTGTATTAGGAAGAGTGTTAGAGTAGGAGACTGGGGCAATGTACCGGGGCCGGTAACGAAGAGTGCTGCTTCCTTTCTTCTTTCGTCTAGACCTGCTTGATATTCCTCTTCTCTATACACTCTGATGTGTGCGGTGGCAGAACTACTTACGTACTGCTCATACATTGTGATTTCAATATATCGCGTTCGAAAATGAAGAATGATAATCCTGGGGCTCTTGGCGCCTCGGCTTACGGATACATCACATGACCCGGATTCCGGCCGACATTCATCAATCCATCCCCCGGTTCGGACCACCGAGTTATAACAACCCAAAGCTATTAATAGCCCAACAACCGTCTGCCCAACGCTTCTTTACATTTCACCTCATTTCATCTTCGCATATATCTATCTACCTCTTCCTCTGGCCTTTGACGCCTTGGCCTCTTTTCCGCCTTTTTATATCACCCGGAGCAACAACAACCCCGCAGCTTCTCACACAGCCCCGCAACGCTTCGCTCGGAACATTCTTCGCAGTACGCGGGTTTTAGACCTTGAAATCGCGGGTCAAGTTATATAGGAACCTATTTCACGAAGCCAGTTTCTTACATCCGATTCAACTTGCATTCGTTTATTAGAGCTGGAATGGTTGTGGTGGGACTGTGAAAGATGGAGGATGAATTTCTCGAACCCGATTCTATCGTGGACCTTCGAGCCCTCGAATATGTTTCTACATACGATGGCCACCTTATGTGCCCGATCTGCCACTGTCCGTTTATAAGACCAATTCGGCTAAAATGCGATCATATATTTTGCCAGAAATGCCTCAATTCCTGCATCACTTCATCCCCGTCACACATACCACTCTCGCCGCCTTCCGACAATTTTGCCTGCCCATCCTGCAGAACCCCAACGATGGCCACGTTTATGAAAGTCCCTCGTATAATAATTAGCATGTGCGATGACTTATGTGTGAAGTGCCCGTTTGCTGGTCAAGGGTGCGAGGAGATAATCCAACGGGGTCACGTACAAGCCCACGTGGATAAATACTGTGACTACCGGTTAATGCGTTGCCCGGAACCAAAGTGCAATTACATGACAAGGAAGAAGGATCTGGATCCTGACCGCCGATGTTTACACGAGCTCCGTACTTGTGACGATTGTGAAGAATCTGTGATGGAACGGGATTTCGAGGTGTGTTGTTTTTGCAAGTGCAGTTAAATTCTTGAGTACTACTCTCCAAACTGACACTTTAACTAAACCTGTTAGGTTCATAAGAAAGAACTGTGTTCAAGCTTGAAGACAGAATGTACGGATTGCCACACGATCGTACGTCGAAGTGAATTACCGAAACATCTAGAGACTTGTCTTGAAGTCGAGAGAACGTGTTGCGCTGCTAAATTCGGATGCCCAGAAAAGTTCAAAATAGAGGAACTTACGCAACATGAGCAAGCATGCACTCTAGCGAAACTGGGCCCATATCTGGAAGCCCAAGCTTCTCGTATGGAATCCATGGAATCCACAATAAAACAATTGCGGCAACGAAATGAGATCCTTGAAGACTGCGTCGCAAGTATCCGTTCAACGCTTGCGCAGGTCTCCCCTTTGCAAGCCAGCCCTCAATCAGAAGTTTCTCCAATTATCAGAAGCGACTCTCCCGTATCTTTATCATTAGAACATTTAAACATTTCCTCACCGAATGCCTCAAATAATCCAACAACTGAGCCCACGAGTGATGTCACCCCCCCATTTCAAGAATCTGTCACCAGCCCACCCCCTTCAAACACCACCACCTACCTTCTTTCTATCCACGAGTCCCTAAGAGAGGATGTAACCCAACTCTCGAATGCAATATCCGATATCGATGCACGTGTTAACATGTCTGTTATGAACGAGAGCATTCGGCTAAGAGATGAGATGGCCCACATTAGCGCTGGTGTTAATGCAATTCGGATGCAAGTCCATTGGCTTATGAATCCACGGCTACACCAGAACCAAAGAACTGTTAACGCCTCCGCAACCACAACATCGTCCACTAGTGATACCTCCAGAAATATGGGCGGGGTTGCTACCGTTGCTGGCCAGAGTGGCAACCCGTCCAGCCCTCCCGCTCCCATTCAGAGAGGACGGCGGCTCAGTGATGGAAGCCGTGAAGGAACAAAACTGTGATGGCTACGATGACTTATACGAGGACTTGTAATCATTGGCTGGTTGGCGCTATTTCTCTAATTTATTTTTATTTTTTTATTTTTATTTTTATTTTTATTTTTCCTTTGATTTACGATGACGAAGAGATGTTATATTTCCAATTTTTCCTCTTCTGTCTGAATGCATATCTACGGAGTTGTATTATAATTTTATGGGAACATAGGTCGAAAGGACGGGGATATTTTTTCACTCCTACACCAATTTATTCTACTCTCTTACTTCATAACCTCGACTACTTCCATACAGAGACCAAACACTCCTAAAGCGACGAAAGAAGAGTGCTCCCTTTTCATTCGTCTAACAGAGTTTTCTATGGACTTTTCTTTTTGTCCTGGCGTACAATCAGCTAGAGCACTGGCACATTGTGGTTTTGCCTTTTATTTTCTTGTTCTCTTCTTTTTTCTTTTACCTTTCAAACCAGCTCTCAAATTCCCCAAGAATGAGTGTTATTCTGGGACTGATTAACCTACCTTCTGACTTACTAAAGAACATCGCAATTGATCGATATCACCTCTACATTCCTTATCAGGTATCAGGCATCTACTGTACCTGCCGTAATTTAAAGTTGCTGACTCCTTTCCATTCAGAGGAATGATCACAAAAGGGGTACGCGCTATGTAGATAGAGGGGGGTTCATACACCAGCTGGCCAACTTAGGTGGGCTCACGATCATGTGCGGAGAAAAATTCCAATATCAAATTACTTTTAACAAACTTCACTATTGACGGGACGAACAACTTTCTATCATATTATTGCGTGACATTCTACAGCCCCTCATACATATATCAACTATTTTTTTTATAAAGCCCCCGGTTATCGACAAGGAAGATCCAAAATGCCAATCCGATACCCGTCTACCGTTATGAACATGATTCAATACATCATTCATTACTTTTTTTTTTTTCTTTTTCCCTTTCGTGCCCAGTAACCAGCAAGAGAGCCAGCCAGTCCTTAATAGCGTCGTGAACCATCATATCCACCAGGTGGGGCCTGGTAATAGTCATACGTATGCGCTCCCTGCGTGGGAGGTTGGTATTCGCTAGTATTTACATGTTGGCGATAACTCTCATAGCCAGATGGTGGAGGCAACGTGTATCCAGGATCATCATATAGGCCCTGCTGCTGCTGTTGTTGTTGATAGGCACCCGGTTGCTCCTGGTATGGTGGATATGGTTGGGATTGGCCTCGAGAGCCTGATCCGATCTCTTCAGCCGGCAGCGCCCGTGTCTGGCTATGACCCTGGTCCTCTGGCAATTCACGTGTCAAGCCACCACCGCCACCGCCTAGGAAGCCCGATAGTTTGCTCAATTTGTTGAGATTGGACATTCCTGGGATGGGGAGGTTGGATAACTGATTCCATGGTAGTGAGGAAGAGGAGGATGGTGGCTTGGTTGAGCCGCTGGAACCGCCTACAAAGTGAGACAGACCAGGGATACTGGAAAGGTTTGGAAGGTTGGGAATGCTCGGGAAGCCGCTGGGAGATTGACCACCTGCCTGATCGTGGGATTGATGCTGCGGTTGGTTATGGCCCCAGTAGCCGTGCTGTTGACCACCTTGGCTATGATTGTGGCTGTGAGAGGGAGCATATCCATATGACTGGTGTTGGCTAGGCGGCGGGACATGTGCGTGCGTGTTACTATTGCCATGTGTGTGAGCGTGAGGGTCACCCCCAACGTGATTCTTCCCAGCCTTAACACCATCTGCACTAAGAATATCGTTCAAATCTATCCCCTTACGTGCCTTTTCGCGAGCCCACCGTTCGACTTCCGCAAACATTTCCTGGTGTGCTTCGTTGTCAGACCGTCGAAGCGCGGGGTGGTGAAGAACAGAGACGCAATCGTCCAGCACCTGATCAACTGGGACATCAACGTGTTGGAATGCATATATAACACGAGGGACGACGAATTTCACCACCGCTGACGCTACTCGTCCAGCCGGATCGTTGAGGATATTGCTGAAATGGTCTTTGGAGAGGAACGAGTGGGTTGGATCTGTGCAGGCCGGGTTTGTCCAGGGTTCAAATTGAGCCTGAGCTTCTGAGGCTTTCAACTCATCTGCACCAAGCTGTAGTTTTGACGACGCTATCTTTATCACGGGTCGAATAAACGGCGCTAAGAGGGAGAAGATAAATATCGAGAGCGTTTCGCTGATTTTCTCCATTAGCGAAGCAAGCCCGGGGATTTTCTCGAATGCAGCGGACAGCCTTTTAGCCACCCTGTCTCTAAACTCCAAAATCGGGTAGATTTGAGAAATCGTTTCCTGAGGGTTAATATCTGCAGGTGTGGACGCCCGCGGCTGGTTATACGCGCTGTGCTGGTTTAAACCTTGATTTCCGTGGGGATCAAAATGGCTCCTTGAGGCGGCATAATCATCTAGGCCACGGTGTTGGTTTGCCTGCGCCTGAGCCTCCGATTTTCGCTTTAAGGCTTCCGCTTCTTCGATTAAACCCTTCATTCCGGGAACTTTAGAAAGCAGACTGGTGAGAGCACTCAAGGCTCCCGAGGAACCAGAACCCGTCTGTGCACTGCCAAGTGTATTGTCCATTTCATTGATTTCACTCTGAGCAAGATTATCTGAGGCACCCCCGAGCAAACTGTGAAAGAAATCCGTCATGCCAAATGTGCCAGTGACGATAGGGAATATGTATTTCCCTTGGATGTTCATCTGGGTGGCCACCCCGACATGAGGGAAAACATTATGATAGTTCATTTCTCGTAATACCAATTCGCAGTAATTGCTGTGTGCCGAGAAGTCTTCCAGAGTATGGAGAGCTATCGATAGTTGTTAGCTTTGTGAAGCTCCGCCATTGAATCCCTGATGTGGTGTTTTGTAAAGAAAATTTCCGTAAAGAATTAGAGTATAGGGACGTTACCTTGACCGAGACACCTGAGAGCCTCGCTCAAATGTTCTTCGCGGCCTTTCTCATGACGCCCACCGCCGAGGTAGAGCCTTCCAAAATGTATGCTTCGCGCAATACTATACCTCACGTACCCGGCGCTGGTTGCCCAATCGCCGCGCTCGTTGGCAATGTAGTTCTTCATACCGGTTTCCGGGTCGATTTCAAGCTCGATAGGTCGAATTGGCCCTCGAAGTCGGGGGTCACTAAAGGTAGAGGTTAATATATGATTTGTATGATGCAATGCATGTTGTAGATGTGTGCTTGTTTCGGGGAGTAGAGGACATACTATTGCCTCGCATCTTTATCATCCGAGTAACCCTTTGGATTGCTATATTTAAATAAAACGGTTAGGAATATAGTTTCTTTTGGAGGATGGTAAATTAAAACATCATCACTAGAAGGGATATAAGGCTTAAATAGCGATGTTTGGAGTACTCCGCATGATGCCATCCATCATCGTAACATATGATATCAATGTGGGAGGGGTAAAGACGAACTCAATATGTTCCTCCGGTCTGTATACTCCAAGTCTCTCAGCTGTGACCTCAAACTCAGCAGTTGCATATCCGAAAGCCATGAAACTGAGAATCCAAACCAAGACCCTGATAGAGTCTGCTTGAATTTTCGATACTGTGCCCACGTCTATAGCTTGCGAGTAATCTCTCAACCTATTGTGCCATAAGTTAGTTTAAAATCACTAAGGAGTTCCAACTGTGGTTGAATTAAACGCGTTGGATAAAAGGATTAAGTCAGGGGAAATAAGCTTGTAAAGGTACAGTACCAATTTCCAAAATATAGACGCTTCATCATAATGCCTGTCCATTTATGTCCCTTGATGAACGCAAGGGTTTTCACGATATCCTGGATATCTCCATGGCGCCAATTTTTGCCTTCAACCACAGATATAGAAGCGATATCTAAGAGAGCAGTCCAACAAATAAGTATCAACTAGTTATGATATGGGTCATTCAAGTGTCGAGTTTCCTTTGGGCGCACACACAAAGTCAAATAACGGAAACATACTTCCAGCTCCGAAGGCATGCACTTGCGAGGGAAGCAGCACAAGTAGAATCGCCAGGATAAAAATAATTGATCTTGTGCCTAAGCCCATGTTGAAGATGTGTGATCAAGCCTCCGTCCACACGACGATGTTAGTTAGGCAAAGGAAATAAATATACGCCTGATGGATTCGTCAAGCAATGGTGATTGCGGTGATATTAGATCTCTAGGTTCCCGTGAGAGGGTGCTTCAAGGAAATTGAGACAGTGAAAGGGAACTTGATTATTGAGTTGATTTGATTTGATGACGTCTCCAATGCTCCAAAGCCGGATTGCTATATTATTGCAAGATCAAGAGTGTGGCGTCACAGAAAACTGGCTTCGTGAAAATATTTAACCACCAGGTCTCCTCCCCCTCCCAGCTTTCTCCCCCCCCACCACCAAGGCTTGAACCCCGTCGTCGTGCGATAAAACTAGCGCAGGAAGATAAGGGCGCTTCCGGGGGCTGACGCAGTACTGTACTGTACTGATCCTGGTTGCTGGCTTGACTACTTCCGTCTGCAAGCCCTTTTTCAGCTGCGGTTGGTCTGCGGTTGGTCTGCGGCGGCGGTTGGTTGCTTCGGGTCGTCGTCGGCGCTCGAATGGTAAGGCTGAAATCTTAGTGAGTTGGGGCAAAGTGGAGGGTTGCTGACTCATCCGTGGTTCGTCCTTGGCTGCCAATTCTCCGTTTGTGGAAACATTGGATAGAGGAATCTCTGTGAACGCGCAATTCAACCGCCCAAACATGAAAGACATTTTATTCCCCGAAGAATGAATGGAGTTGGCTCCAGGCGATGTGTCGGTTCGAATTACTGGGCTGCATTCTGTTGTTACGTCGTCGAGTTGGCAAGAGTGAGGAGGATCGCGCCGCTAGGTTGGATTGAATCCACTCAAGACAGACACAGAGACTCACAGACAGACGCAATTGCAGTTCACTAATACTTTAAAAAATCTAGCAATTCACAACCGCCAGCATGCTCCATGAGATACTCCTCGCCTTGTCCGGTCATAACTCTCCCCTGTTTGACCAAGAGGAAGGTGGCTCTGCCAAAGACGGTGTCCCGTTTCTCTCGCCCGCCGAGCACGCCCTCCTCCAACCAATAGCGGAGCTGTGTCGACTTCATAC